CAAAGCAACCATTATCTGATAGAAGATAACCATAGTAAGTCCCTCAACTACATAAGATCCCAACCCACAAGACATAACTCGCAGTCGCCGCAAAACTAATACCAAAACCTGGTGACCATTCGCAATTATGTTGGAGCGTAAACCAATCTAATCACTTGTACAAACCACTAAAAGTTAAAGCAATGTACTGCTAGACAAAAACTTCATGTGAAATGGCAGAAGTTTTCAAACTCTCCACCAAATGAAATGTAGCATAAACAAAAACAAAACCTGCTATAATTCACTGCTCCAACTGCTTCCATTTCGAAAAAATACGACTTAGGAGACCCCTGCATGAGCAACACAAATTATATTGGAGTGACAGCAACATCTACATGAGAAAGAAGGGCACCGCTTTGCTACAAAATGTACCAGCAATCAAAGGTCCACCATAGAGCAACCAAGTCTCAGGAGAAAAATAAATTAAAATTTAATATGATCAACTTCCAAAATAACATTTAGACAAAGGATTTAACATCCCATTCTTTTGCTAATTTGTCTTCCTAGATATTACATACTCTAGGGAAGTATCAGATGATCCAGATATTTGTCTGTGATATTTCATATATTCTATCAGCGTAAATAATCAGAGCTTTAGAAGGGTCAACAATCCAAATTATAGCAACATTACTGTTGCTCTCAATGATAAGTTGAAACTCGCCATTCAATTAGACGAAATAAATATTTTTGGCAGCGTGCTCGATTGCTAACATTTTGGCTAGAATAAAAAACCAGGGCCAATCGACAAAGAAAAGACTAATAGAATCGAACCATTTCCATCCTTTAACACCCCTTCAATCTCACCAGGGCTACCATCACTGTTCATAGGTTCATCCAATAAATTTCAAAAACTCAGCTGGATACTCTTCGAGTAGAAAAAGGGTCTTGAACCAAGTCCTCGAAAGATAGAGGGGCAAGGGGAAACTCAGTATTGAACCACCAAGGCAACCTAGACTTAGCCAAAAATTTCAGTCTATATAGTCAATTTTTTTGCTCGAGAAAAAGAACATTTCTATAATGCCAAATTGACCATGACACTACAAAAGGGATCATTTTCCAAATTAAACATCTATCCTTACCAACTATAGCATCATTCCATGAGTTCAAGAACACATTGGGGTCAACAGGAAGCATAATGGAGATGTCCCATAAAGAGGAAAAATGCATCCAAAGACCCAATGCAACAGTACATGATAAGAACAAATGAGCCACAGATTCTTGATTTAGATTACACAGAGTGTATAGTTCACTTAGATCTAGGCTTAACTCTCTCAACCATTAAGCATTAAATAAAGGTTAAGGCTAACTCTCGAAAGCTCTTATAAACCTAAGAAATAAAACAGTGAACAAAGCATGTATAAACATAGAAAGTGCTTGACATTCATTCAAACAAAAGCATAATCATCCAACAATAAACCCAAGCCAAATCAATTACTTCATGGCTGGGAAAAAATCATCAACAATCATTTGTTTAATACAATCCATTTCCATACAATATAATGAAATAAAGAGCACTAACGAAGAAGAGAACTCCTAAGTTGTTGTGGACTGCCGTGAACCGTCACGAGAGCTGCTGCTTCTCTCAAAGGTCAGTAGTGTTCATCCCTTTGAAGCTCCAAAAATGGAGGACACCACGAAATGGACAAGAAGAAGAGTGGTTACCTCCCACTTTTTCTCTTTTTCTTAGCTCATAAGAATACCCCTCATTTCATAGCTAGCAGGTAGGTTCATGTGTGGGCTGTAAAATATCTTCCATTTTTATCTTTTTGTGCGCCCAGAAAAAATTGTCCAAAATACTGTAGCAAAATTCCTTCTCCCAACATTTCTCCTTAGTTACCTTACCCATCACCACACCAAAATAAACTCTTTCCCTCGTAACAACACCAAATTCATAAATAAATAAAATAAAGCAATCAAACACCACCACATGCAATAAAATGAACTAAATGCAACTATATGCAATTAAATGGGCTTGAAAACGAACAATAGCTTAGGTAAAAAGTGCATAACATATGGCATTTTTACAAGTTTAACACAGCAAACTTAAGCTATTGCTTGTCCTCAAGCAAAGAGAAATAACAAACAGACGAATGCTAAGGCAAAAGTTCAATTCAAGACAGTGTTGTGGCATAAACTTCAGTCCTAAAAAAAAGGCTTTCAACAAGCTAGACACATTAAGATTTTAAGAAATTTTCCTTAATACAAGATCCTTAGTAAACAATTAAGCGCAAATTACTCTCTTTACCTTAACTTCTTTTTCTTTTCTTTTGTTCTCTCTCTCTGGTTTTTTTCCTACGAGGGGTGTCAGCTCATCACACATGCCGTCGTTAACTCTAGATGAACTAGAGAAAACATTTCATCCCCTAGCTACTCGGTAGAGTCATCCTGTGACTACTTTCACCACTCATTTGTCACTACTGTCATTTATTAAAAGAGTATCCAAGAAAGCAAGAAAAGCGGGGTGTCCCTCTACAGTTTTGTCGTAACATTTATTCACAATTCAACATTTTCAATAAGCACAAGGAAGTGAACAATAACCTTTAAAACATTCATTTATCATTCATACTAAGGCATGCAAGAGTCCTATCACACAAAATTTCTAAGAGAAAATAACCTCAGTGACCGAAAATGCCTTGTAGTATATGATTTTAACCAACTTTTTTTGGATTTGCCAAAATGACCAACAAATTCGCAACGTGAACTCCAATTTCGCAACCCAGTTTCCAATTTCGCAACGCGAATATGTAAATCACATTGTGATTTTCCAAATTCGCGTTGTGATTTTCCAAATTCGCAACGCGAATCTGTAAATCGCAACACAGAAGTCAAATTCGCAACACGAAACACAATATTAATTTCGTAACACAAATGTAAACAGTATTTTCGCAAATCATAACCTAAAACCCTAAATCTCAACTCAGTCTCATCTCCATCTCTCACTCTCTACGGCGACATCCGTCCCCATCTCCGACGAAGTCTATCTATCTCCATCTCTCAGAGCAACCCTCACAACCATTCACGATCAGAAATGGAAAATCAACCACCGAGGGTTAGTTTTTAATCTCTTATTTTTATTTTGAAATTTTTGTATTATTATTAGATTTTTCTTATATTAATGATAAATTTATTGGTAATTTCAATATATATAAAGATTAACCATTTCATTGAGATTGCTTAGTAAATTCATTCAGTTGCTGCCAATACTGCAAAACTGTTTAGTCTTTAATTCTGTTAAGTTAGTATTTGTCTTTGTTTTGTCTTTTTGTTGAAGAAATGCAATTCATTCAAGTTTCATGTTGAAAACATTTTGATGTTTCGATATAACAAATTAAGTTAAATGAATTTTAAGATTTTACAAAAGATTTTCTAAGTATATTCGATGTAATTATTCGAATATCAAAATATTACTCCAAGTCTTTCAAAGTTCATTTTAATCCTTACTAAAGTGTAAAATTGCGTTTTATACTTAAACTATTTTAAAACAATTATACAAAGTATTTCGAGCCTTAATCGAGCCAAAAATATTTTCTTTTTAAAGGGTTTCAAGAAAAATCAGATTGTCCAGGGGGTACAGATTCCCCCCCAGGGGGTACCGATTTCCCCCCAGAGAGAACAGATTCCCCCCCAGGGGTTACCGATTCCCCCTGTCTAACGGTCAAAAATTTGCACTTAGGGAACCGATTCCCCATGAGGGGGTACCGATTCCCCCACACTCCAAGCTATTTTATTAATTGTTTCTCATCCCCAAACGGCTCCAAAACATCCCCAACGACTATATACAACTTCAAACACATTCCAAGCTATAAATACAAGCTAAGGACACTTGAAGAAGGAAGAGAACAACTATCCAAGCAATCAAACACAAGAGAAGAGTTTTTCATTCTTATTTTATCTTTCTTTATAAATATTTTATTCTTGTGAGCTCAATCTTGTAAACAACTACCTTAGAGAGGTTTTCTTGTTTACTTATTTTATCCTTTTGTAAAGGGGAAAGGTTCTAGCTTATCCCGTGTAAAAGCTAGGGAAAGGTTATAGTTTAGCCCGAAAAACTAGGGAGTTGTAAGGTTATCTCTTTGTCCTCAAAAGAAAGAACAAATTAGTGAATTTGTTGGAAAATCCTTGGTGAGGAGCTAAGGTAGTGGATGTACACTTTGGTTGAGAAATTCGAACCACTCTAAATCGCTGTGCAATTTTCTATCTTTCAATCTCCTTACTCCCTAAACATAAAACCGTTCCGACCCCTCTTTGCAAACCGTTCTGATTGTCGATTCGAGCTTTCGAAAATCCCAACAATTGGCATCAGAGCCTAACTCGTTAAGAAGGTTTAACCACCTTGAGACGATCCTCGAAGAAGCACTACCAATTCCCAACACAAATGGCTTCCACCTCCGGTTCGTTCTACATGGAAAACTCCCTACCAACCGACAAACCTCCATACTTCAATGGAGTCAACTATAAACATTGGAAGAAATTAATGAAGGTATTCATCCAGTCCAATGATCTTAATGCATGGGAGATAGTCGAGAACAGCTACTCTTCTCCAAAGAAGAAGGAGAAGAAGAGGAGTGACAAAGAACGGAAGAAAGCTCAACTTAATGCCAAGGCCATGCACATGCTATTTTGTGCATTTGGTCATGAAATCTATAAAGGGGTTTCTTCATGTTCAAGTGCCAAGGAGCTTTGGAATAAGCTCGAGGAAATCCATGAAACAAGAAAGAAGAACCAACAAAGGTGGTGTCTCTAATGGCTTGTGAAGAGCCCGATGTATCTTCTAACTCAAATGAATTTAATTCATATGTTTGATTAGTTACAAGATGCTTTTAATAGGTTATATTTGGAGTTTGAGGCCATGAACTCCAAATATAAGAAAATAATTTCAAAATTTAAAATCGAAAATGATTTTCTTTTGAAAACAAAAATAGATTTTGAAAGCCAAAATGAAATTTTGAAAAAGGATTTAGAGCTTTCAAAAATAAAAATTAAAAGTTTTGAAAAATAAAATTTTGATTTAAAAGTTAAGCTTGAATGCTTAACAAAAGAAAAAGAAATCATTTTAAATAATTCATTTATTTCAATAATGACAATATGCTCACATTGTCATTATCATGGTCATAAGGAACATACTTGTCCTTTGAAGAAAGGAAAACGTTTTAAAATTAGACAAGTGTGGATTCCTAAAGGAACAAGGGGCATTGAAACTAACGTCCAAGGATCCAAAGCAATTGGATACCAAAATTGAAATGAATGTCTCTTGTAGGTGTGTGGAAGCAATTTGATGAAAATGATGATATTCAAGATGCTCTAGCCACACATGAAAAGGAATGGGTAACCTCTAAGTTTAATGTTTTTAATTTTAGTTATTTGGTTGCTCATTTGATTTTAAGCATGCATGAGTTTTGTTTTTAAATAATTATACATTATTGTTTTAATCTCATGTATGTTAAAAAGGTTTTATGATGAACATTTTAAAGTTTTAATGATTTTTTAGAATTTTTAGTTCATCATAAGGAATTTTGGTAAAAATTGGTTTTAATGCAAATGATATCTCTCTAACAAATGATATCAACTTTTCAAATGTTTTGATTTTATAAATTTTAAAAATTTTGACCTAAATTTAAATGTTTATGCATGTGGTTTAAATGAAAATGATATCTCTCTAACAATTGATATCAAAATTTTCAAATGCATAACATTTTTGGAAAACTTTATGCATATGCACTTAATTTCAATAATTGATATTGCATAAAGTATTTTAGACTTGGAATTATTGAATTTCATGTGCTACTAATATTTGTTATTCTTTGTTGAAATTCAATTTTGTTTTAAGTGTCAAGATCCTAAAAGCATAATGTTATTTGGAATGCATTTATTGAGGGGGAGCTTTGATTTTTTCAAAAGATTTTTGAAATGTCAAATTTACTACTTACTCTCCAAAGTTATTTTAAACTTCAAAGATTAGAGTCTTTTCGATTTAACAAAAAGGGAAGTGTTAAAGTAAGGGGGAGTAATTTCAAACTTTATTTCAAAATCTTAAAATTACTCAAATGTTTTGTTATATAAAAAAGGGGGAGATTGTTAAAAACATTTTGATGTTTCGATATAACAAATTAAGTTAAATGAATTTTAAGATTTTACAAAAGATTTTCTAAGTATATTCGATGTAATTATTCGAATATCAAAATATTACTCCAAGTCTTTCAAAGTTCATTTTAATCCTTACTAAAGTGTAAAATTGTGTTTTATACTTAAACTATTTAAAAAAAAATTACAAAGTATTTCGAGCCTTAATCGAGCCAAAAATATTTTATTTTTAAAGGGTTTCAAGAAAAATCAGATTGTCCAGGGGGTACAGATTCCCCCCCAAGGGTACAGATTCCCCCCTAGGGGGTACCGATTCCCCCCAGGGGGAACAAATTCCCCCCCAGGGGGTACCGATTCCCCCTGTCTAAAGGTCAAAAACAGACTTCACTTAGGGAACCGATTCCCCATGAGGGGGTACTGATTCCCCCCATGCTCCAAGCTATTTTATTAATTATTTCTCATCCCCAAACGGCTCCAAAACATCCCCAACGACTATATATGACTTCAAACACATTCCAAGCTATAAATACAAGCTAAGGGCACTTGAAGAAGGAAGATAACAACTATTCAAACAATCAAACACAAGAGAAGAGTTTTTCATTCTTATTTCATCTTTCTCTTGTAAATATTTTGTTCTTGTGAGCTCAATCTTGTAAACACTTACCTTAGAGAGGTTTTCTTGTTTACTTATTTTATCCTTTTGTAAAGGGGAAAGGTTCTAGCTTATCCTGTGTAAAAGCTAGGGAAAGGTTTAGTTTAGCCCGGAAAAACTAGGGAGTTGCAAGGTTATCTCTTTGTCCTCAAAAGAAAGAACAAATTAGTGAATTTGTTGGAAAATCCTTGGTGAGGAGCTAAGGTAGTGGATGTAGACTTTGGTTGAGAAAGTCGAACCACTCTAAATCGCTGTGCAATTTTCTATGTTTCAATCTCCTTACTCCCTAAACACAAAACCATTCCAACCCCTCTTTGAAAACCATTTCGGTTGTCGATTCGAGCTTCCGAAAATACCAACATTTCAATTTGCAGAAGAATAGTTTTTGAAACTTAAATTAGCAACACAAAAATGAAAATCGCAACGCGATTTTAGTTTCGCGTTGCGATTTTCATTTTCGCGTTGTGAATTTAAGTTTCAGAAACTACTTTTATTCTGTAAATTGAAACTTGAATGAATTGCATTACTTCAACAAAAAGAAAAAACAAAGACAAATACTAACTTCACAGTGTTGCTAATTTAAGTTTCAAGAATAAACTACTACTCTTTATGTTGTCTTTGAACCTACACTAAACCTATATGTTTTCCTTTTAAATGTTTATATAAGTGCTTACTTCTGGAATGTTATTTGATGCATTTTGTGAACTATGATGGAATAATGACAACATGTGAATACCGTGCTAGTTTGAAACATATTTGGTTTTGTTTTCACTGTTTAATATCATGTCTGTTTATAGTGTATAATTTGTAGTTTTTGGTATATCTAACTTGGTATGTTTATTGTTTTTGTAGAAATTTTTCCGGCTGCATTGACCTTAAGGAATAAATTAAGCCTAGCCACTAAAATTGTGTCGACGCTTACACCTCTAAAAAGAAAATTATTTGAGGATACTTGCCTCGGGCCATGGCTGAAAGTACAACATATGGGTGGAGATGCTATGTTGACACATTTGTTTCTTCAGACCATGACTAACGATCTACCCGAGAGGATACAACGTGGTGATGAAGAGATATGGTTTCATTTTCCTCCGACACCGGTGTATCCTTGTTTTGGGCGGGAGGAGTTTTGCTTAATCACTGGTCTACACTTCGAACACGATGAAGTAACCCGGTACACTAGTCATATCTCCCGCCCATCATGGTTATCTTGGGTTTTTCCTAAGCTGGCAAAGTCGAAGTTGAGTTTACACGTCGATGACTTGAAGAGATTATTTGTTAAAGATGGTTTTACTTGGATGGATGACCTTGATGTTGTCTGAGTATGCATTTATTACTTTTGCATGCCGGCTTTTTAGACAAAGAGGGCAGACAACCTATCTCTGAGGACCTAATATTATTGGTAGAGGACCTAAATGCATGGAACCTATTTCCGTGGGGTTCATATCTATGGAAAGCTACCTGGAAGAAGTTATCGTCTGCTTTTGAGGAACGAAAAAGTTTGTGGGGCGATGGTTCTAAATACACTTTGACAGGCTTTACTTGGGCCTTTAAGGTAAGAATTTATGTATAATGTTTCCAAAATTATAATTAATTATTTAACAATTACTAATGTTTGTGTATTATATTGTTTTGTAGATTTGGATATTTGAGGCTTTCCCCAACATGCGGACATATACGATAAAAAGATCAAATGATATTCCTAGGGTTATTACCTAGAAGAGGATCCGCATGTTGGATTGGGAAGAGTTACTCCCGTATACGACGATGAATGATGTAAGTTAACACACAAATAATACCATTTATAAACAAGTTATTACTAGTACAAGTTTAACTTTGTTTGAGCTTTTATATTATTAGGAGGCCAACTATTCATTACAGAGGCTGACACCCACAGAGGCTGAGCTTGCCACTGATTGGTGGCAAGCTAGTAAGCAGTTTTTTGATGGGACTGATGATGAGTACCCCCACTTCGAGAGCCATCACTTGATCGGGCCGATTCTACAGCTCGACACCCGGAGCCATCACCTGATCGAGCCTCTTCTCTACCTCCACCATCACCTATTCCATCAAATCATCGAGCCTCTTCTCCACCATCACCTCATGATAGACGACCGACAAAGAGGCCATAACATTTATCTCCTTGTTCTCCACCTCCACGGGATGAATTAGGGGAGTTACGTGATGAGGTCGGTGCTTTGTGTCATGAGGTCGGTACTTTATGTGAAGATAATGGTGCATGGCGTGATGAGGTTCGGTCTTTACATGGTGAGGTGGATTTTTTATGTGATGACAATGGTGCGCTATGTGGTGAGGTATCTACTTTACGTGATGAGGTTGCCGCTCTACGCGAGATTATTTTATCGTTGCAGAATAAGGTTCATACTCTATGGAATGAGGTAAATTTGTTTAATACTATACTAAAAATGCAAATAACCTTTTTTCGGAATTATTTATTTATTTATTTACTGATTTATGTATTAATTTATTTACAACGGACCGATAAGGTAGATACTTTACGTCGGGTTTTTCTTGCACGACGGGGTTCACGCATCAGACATCGTACACGTGCCATTACGTCTCCGTTCACCCCACTAGTGCCAAGACTCCATAATAAGAAGCCCGATGCACCTATCATCATTCAAGAGGTGCCTCCTATCCTTCAAGAGGCCCCTCTCATCATCGAATAAGCCCCTCCCACCCTTCAAGAGGCCCCTATCATTGTTCAAGAGGTCCCGCCCGCCGTTCAAGTGCCGATTCACATGGCATCAGATGTCGACATATTGATAAACCCCTCCCGTGACCGATATGATGGATGTGAGTTGACTTTCGTATGTGTTACCAGCCAGTACCATTCCTCAGCAGAGAGGGAAACACTACCGGACACAATTACGGATAATACCCTTTGGGCTAAGACCGCAGTTGATTTTTATCTACATGAGCAGAGCAAGGGGTGTTATTCTGACCTATGCGAACTCGACGATGTTATTCATTTGTTTTTTGATCGGTCTTGGTGGGGTATTTTATTAGGGGTTGAAGATAATGGCTATCTCGAAGGGGTGGTAAGTCTTATATTCTTCTTATATTGCATTTTGATTAATTTTTTTTAAATTATTAATAAATTCACTAATATATGTATTTTTTATAAAACAACATATTGATGCATGGGTGTCACGTTTCTAATAATAAGGAAATTGAGGAAAATAAGAAATACTCGATGGACTATTATGCCGACGTCTTT